CTTTCTTGCTATTGTTTTTTATTTATAATGGTATCATGAATATGTTATTTTCTCAATTTTGTTTTCTCATTTCATATTCCTATTGTATTATGGATATCCAATTTATGTTTATAGGTAGGCATTATTTTATCCTATGGCCCTACTAATGCCTTGATTAATTTTATCAGGTTTTTAAACAGGATTTTCTACATAACATTTTATGTCCTATATTCATAGAGATTATTTCTCCTTCCCAGAGTAGAAGCTTACATTTCTTTCTTTGCATTACCTAGAACCTTTAGTATGATTTAGAATAAAAAAATAGGAAGAGTTGTACCTTTTCTTAAATTTCAAACCCTAGAGAGGAGCTGGATTTTACAGATAAGCATCCCTGATTCACTGTAGCTTTCTCTCTTTGTCACACTGAGAAAATTCCTCTCTAGTCTGGAAAGAGATACTAGGCATGCATTGTTTAGTTGGGATGGGTGGTTTATTTGCTTGCCTAGTTATTTTGAGAGAGTCTCCCTATGTAGCCTAGGCTGCCCTTAGACTCCCAATCCTCCTGCCTCCACATCCCAATTACTGAGAGTCCATAGTATAGCCTGTGCTACCACGCCTGGCTTGGGTATCTGTTTGTGTAGGACAGGAAAGTGGAGATGCAGCCTACTGTGGAAAGCATTATACCAATGTGTTATGCAATTAAGTAAATCTTGGCAATTCACTTTTTAGTTTTCAGAGTTCAAAGTGTGACCCTGAACGATGTCAACACTCTCCACCCAGACAGCCTCCAACATCAGCATTCCAATGGCTCCTACCTTCCTGCTGGTGGGCTTGCCTGGCTTGTCGGCTGCACCATCCTGGTGGACAATACCTCTCATCACTGTCTACCTTATCTCTGCAGTGGGCAATGGTACTGTCCTCTGGATCATTGTCCTGGAGCCCACGCTGCACCGTCCAATGTACTTCTTCCTCTTCCTGCTTAGCCTGTCTGATGTTGGCTTGGCCTCGGCCCTGATGCCCACCTTGCTGGGCTTGGCTTTTGCTGATGCTCGTGCTATCCCTGCCTCCACCTGCCTCTTGCAGATGTTCTTTGTCCATGTCTTTTCTGTCATGGAATCCTCAGTCTTGCTTGCCATGGCCTTTGATAGGGCATTGGCTATCTGCCGCCCTCTCCAATACCCGTCACTCCTCACCAACGGGGTCACTAGCAAGATCGGCCTAGCCATTCTTTTTCGATGCCTGGGTCTCCATCTGCCCCTGCCATTCCTCCTGGCCCACATGCCCTACTGCCACTCACAGGTCCTGACCCATTCTTACTGCCTACACCCAGATATAGCCCGCCTAGCCTGCCCAGGAGCTTGGGGTACAGTTTACAGTTTAGTTGTAGTCCTGTCGGCCATGGCATTAGACCCATTGCTTATTTTCTTCTCCTATGGCCTGATTGTCAGAGTGCTTCAAGGTGTGGGGTCCAGGGAGGATCGCTGGAAGGCTGGTCAAACTTGTGCTGCCCACCTGTCTGCTGTGCTTCTCTTCTATGTGCCTATGGTTCTCTTGGCACTCATTAACCGGCTCAAGTTGCCCCTCCCTCAGCCTGCCCATACGCTTCTCTCTTACATTCACTTCCTGCTTCCTCCACTGTTAAATCCTATTCTATACAGTGTCAAGATGAAGGAGATTAGAGAGAGGATACTCAAGAGGATGCAGCCCAGGAAGGTTGGCTGTGCTCTGTGAGTGAGATGTCCTTCCACATTTGCTTGGAGAAGGCTCCCCATGCCAAAGCTTCCACCACTGAGAACTGGTTGCCATGCATGAAATAGCCATTTAGGTAAACAAGTGTCTATGCATGATTGTAGCTGCCTCTCCCTAGAAGTGTGCCTGTGGTGGGTTTAAGAAAGCTGAAGAAAATAGATGCAAACCATCCATAGTTGTACTCTATATGCCCGTGCATTGAAAGACTCTCGGTCTTGCCACAACTCTTCATGTGCAGGGCTATTGTTGTTCTCTGGCTGTTAAGTTACTTGCTCTATCTCTGCCTGCATAACTGAGAAAAGGGGCAAGTATCAGACAGAAGGCACAGGAGATGAAGGAGAAGACAGAAGCAGCCTGCCTAGCTGGGTGGAGGGCTTTCCACTTGTGTTGCACCCTGATAAGAAATAAGATTCTGAATGACCCAAAGGAATTACATGAAAGACAATGCAGTGAATCTTTCATTTAGGCATTTCCCTCTGAGAGACAGGACAGGGAACTCAACCAATAACAAATAGAGGAAGACAACTGGTTATTTTGATTCTTTTGTTTTTAAAGTTTTGAATATAAGGCATGCTTGTTGTTACAATTCTGCATAATTAAATATATTATATACAAAAAATACTGTCTCAATTCTTTATTTCCTGGTAGTGGCCACTTCAATGAGGGTGGGATGAGAACAATAGGCTTATTTTTGTTTTGTCTTTTGAGTTTGGGCACAAGACTTTTTCTGTTCAATTTTGTCCTCATGACCTGTTTGGGCAAATAAGAGTCTAGGATATGGCACTGTGGCCCCAAGTGGTAGAATGCTAGCCTTGAGCAAAAGAACTCAAGGACAATGCCCGGGCCCTGAGTTCAAGCCCATGACCAACAAAAAAAAGTGAAGATCTGACATTTTGCTGGGCCGTGTACTTGCCTAGCAAGTACTACATCCTTGGTTCAATCCTCAGTACAAAATAGAAGGAAAGAAAGAACGAAAGAAAGAAAGGAAGGAAGAAAAAAGAGAGAGAGGGAGGGAGGGAGGAAGGAAGGAAGGAGGGAAGGAAGGGGGAAGGAGGAAGGAAGAAAGGAAGGAAGGAAGGAAGGAAAGAAAGAAGGAAGGAGAGTTTTTTATGTACAGTGTGAAGTTATTTCTTTTTCCTCTCATTTTTTTTCCTTTGGTTTATCTCCTGTTATCACTGTTTTAGATTTGGTACACTGTGTCTTGTATATATACTTATCTGATTTGGAGAAGGAAAAAGGAATAACAAAATGATGAGAGTTTTCTGGATCTTTACTTAGGAAGTTTTGACTCATGCCAAGGAGCCATAGTGTTTCCCTTATCCCTTCCTGTAATATTTTCAGAGTATCAGAGTATCTGGTCTTACATTAAGGTCTTTGATCCATATGGTGTTGATTCGGGGGCAATATGATATATAAATTTCTGACTTCAGTTTTCTGCATGTGTATAGCCAATTCTGACAATACCACTTCTAGAAGAGGCTGTCTTTCTTCCATCCTGTGTTTTTGGCTCCCTTATCAAATATTATGTAACTATGAGTCTATGGGTTCATTTCTGTGTCTTCAATTCTATTCCATTGGCCCTCAGGCTTAGTCTTATGCCAGTACCAAAGCTGTTATTATTACTATGGCTTTATAATAGAGTTTCAAGTTTGGTATTGATATTCCCCTGCACTGTTCCTGTTAATTTTATACCCTGCTACTTTGCCAAAGTTCCAGATCAGCTCAAGTAACTTGGGAAAGGAATCTATGAGGTTTTTTTTAAAATACAGGATCATGTCATCTACAAAGGGGAAGAGTTTTACATCTTCTTTCCCTATTTGGATTCCCTTTATGTTTGACTCTTACCTTATTGATCTAGCTAGGAATTCCAGTACTATATTGAAGAGGAGTGGAGAGAGTGGACATCTTTGTGTCATTCCTTCCCTTGCCCACTCTGTACTAGTCCCAGGCTCTGTGCTTTCTTGCTTAAGGCTAGCACTCTATCACTTGAACCACAACTACACTTCTGGGCTTCTGGTGGTGAATTAGAGATATGAATCTCACAGGACTTTCCTACCTGGGCTGGCTTTGAACCACAATCCTCAGATCTTAGTCCCCTGAGTAGCTAGGATTACAGGCGTGAACCACTGGTGCCAGACCCAAGGGAAGATTCTTTGTCGCTCAACCAAACTTTCTAAAGTCCCTGAAATGCTAACTTCTTACTTTGAAATGTGAGGAAGAGAAGGTGTAGGGTTAAAGCCAGGTGATAACTACACTGACTTACAGCAGCAGAACTGGCAGGACTCATCCTGGACTTCATTGCCTATTAGATGGTAAGACAACTTAAATTTTTCTTTGTTCCAGAATCTTCTAGAATTCTCAATATTTATTACACCCTCTTTGGCCACTCATTGACTCGCTTTTAAACTATTCTTCTAATACAAATTTTCACACATCTACCTAGAACACTATGGACAAGTTACTTTTATGACAAGGGGTTTAAAGTTGAATAATACACAGTGATCGCCCTATGGAAATTCACAACCTAGTGGGTGTGAGAGAAACATGTGTACTGTTGGCAATATAAAGGGGCCGTTGACAACCGAGCCAGGAGAATGAAGCCTTATCTGTGCTATAATGTTGCCAAAAGCCAACGCCCTTCTATAATTTCCTCCTCCCAAATTGACTTCACCAAGGATGGAATTGAATAAAATGTTAAGAGCTTTTCTGTCTCCCTTTTCACATAGCCCTAGAACAGATTCCTCAAACTCAAATGCCTGTGACAATTGCTTGGGTTGGAATGCAGATTGACTCAGAAGCTTGCAGCAGAAAACTGGGAGTCAACAATTTTGCTAGCTTTCTTGATGATTGCCACTGCTGCTCAGTGAGTCACACTTTGAGTGGTAGAGTAGAGAATGGATGCAGACAAACTCAGACATGTAGAGTTTAATGAAAATCACAATGAGGAGTACAATAAAGAGTCCAATATAGAGATGTTAAGTGCTTTTGGAATCTTACAAGCTTCTCTCTGTGACAGTCTTCTGTAGAATGTTTTCGATATTCTTGCTCTTCATTATTTTACCTGAGAATGGAATGTTTTCAATCATCCAAAAAACAATGAAGAATTCATATAACCTCTATGACATAGATAGCCTCTTCTTTTTCAGTACCAGAACAATTTAAAAAGATAGGGTTGATTGACTGAAGTTAAAAACTGAAATAATGGAACAATCTCTTTTAGAAGAAACATTATCTTGCTCTCAGCATAGTTTACAACAGAGAAAATGGAGTGTTTACCTTTGTCTCTTCAGGCCCAGTTTTTCCAAGACTTTCTCTCTAATCTGCCGAGTTTTTACACAGTATACAATCGGATTCATCAAGGGTGGTACCAACAAGAAAGCATCTGCTATAAGAATCATAGCTAAAGGATATTTATGCTTAGCAAAGCGATGCATGACAGCCAGGGTGATGATGGGCACATAGAAGATGAGCACAGCACAGATGTGCGAGACGCAGGTGTTAAGAGCTTTGAGTTGCTCCCCATGGGATGCAATACCTAACACAGTCTTTAGGATGAACACATAGGAGACCACAATGAACACACTATCTGACATCATACAGAGTGCGACAAACAGCCCATAGTAAAAGTTAACCCTGTTGTCAGAGCAAGCCAGCTTCATAACATCCTGGTGGAGGCAGTAGGAATGAGATAATAGTTGCTTATGACAGTATCTGAGTCTCTTTAAAGTAAAAGGAAGGGGAAGCACTAAGAGAATGCTTTTAACAGCAAATACCAGTCCAATATGCCCAACTCTAGAGCTGGTGAGAATGGAGCTGTATCTCAGAGGGTAACGAATGGCGACAAATCGATCGAAGGACATAATCAGAAGAACCGAAGACTCCATATCTGTGAACCCATGGATGAAGAATTCCTGGGCAATGCATGCATCCCCAGAAATCTCAGTTGAATTGAATAAGAAGATTCTTAGCATAGTAGGAATGGAGGAGAAAGACAAACCCAGGTCAGAGAGAGCTAGCATGGAAAGGAAATAGTACATGGGCTCCTTCAGGGAAGGCTCTGTGCTGATGACACAGAGGATGGTGCAGTTACCCAGAATGGCCATTACATAGATGAGGCAGAGAGGGATGGAGATCCAAATGTGCATATATTCAAGACCTGGGATCCCAATCAACAGAAATGAGGAGACTTCAACCTTCGAGGTATTGAGAAGAAGCATCATAAAGAAATAGCCACTTCCAGATCTACAATAACACCAACAATAAACAAAAAAATACTTTTGAGTTGTAGTCACCACGCAGAACTAAGTTTACTTAAGGGTTAATAGCTCCAACTTATAGGACAGGAAAGCCAGACATTATAGTGCACACCTATAATCTCAGCACTTGGGAGTCTAAGGCAGAGGAATCACAGTTTTGAAGCCAGTCTGCACTACATAGTGAGTTTAAATCCAGTCTGGGTTATATAATGGCACACTATCTGAAAATTAACAAAACAAACAAGAGGCAAGAAATAATATACTCCTATTTTTTCTTTTTTCTTTTTTTTTTTTTTGTCGGTCATGGGGCTTGAATTCTGGACTTGGGCACTGTCCCTGCGCTCTTCAGCTCAAGGCAAGCGCTCTACCACTTGAGCCACAATGCCACTTCCAGATTTCTAGTGGTTTTTATTGGAATAAGAGTCTCATGGACTTTCCTGCCCAGGCTGGCTTTGAATCTCGATCCTCAGATCTTAGCCTCCTGAGTAGCTAGGATTATAAGCATGAGCCACCGGCACCAGCTTACTCCTATTTTTTCTATACAAAGAAAATGTGCTGTGCATTTAAACAGGTTCTTCATAGTATTTAAAGACTTTTATGCTATTCTTCCACTCTATTTTTATAGAAATCCTTCTTCTCAGATATATTCCTGAATAACTAAAACTAAGAATACCAAAGTGTTTTAATATGCTTTCTTCAACCATAGCTTTTGATATTTATATATTAATTAAAATGACTAGTCTTTTATAACATAAAAGAGTTCAAATATCAAGACTGTAGAGTGGCCAGGTACTACCACATAATACAGTGTTACAGGAGTAAGGGTTAAAGGAGGCCAGAATATTAACTTATACTTCATGGCACTTATATTTCAAACTAAAGGGCATGTTAAATTTGGCTGATGACGTATTGGTGTAAAAGCTGTAAACTTCTTCACATTTCTAAATGTTTTCCAGAATATTTTTAAATCATATTTGCCCAAAAGAAAAGCCAAAAGTGATAGAGATCATATACACCTAAAATTATAAAAAATATTTCTATTCTGGCCATTTATTTAAAAATATGGACTGAGACTATAAAATCATACATGAAATCACAAACATGTTTGTGTGCACACATACATACTCACAGTAGTATGGATGAATATGGTTGGAATATTGGACCAAAAGGAATTTCAGGCTCTTGTTTCACATTGTTCATTCCCAAGGGGAAATGAATCTACACATGCAAATTTACACACCTTAAGACTGCCCATCCTGAAGATTTCAGTTATTCTTTGTATTCTTCTATATTTTTAAAATTCCTACCCCTTTCAATTCAGCCCAAGGCTAGCACTCTACCACTTGAGCCACAGTGCACTTCCAGATTTTTCTGCTTATGTGGTGCTGAGGAATCAAACCCAGGGCCTCATGCATGAAAGGCAAGCACTCTGTCATTGAGCCACCTTCCCAGCCCTAAATACATTTTTATGGTAAAAATAGTGTACAACAGGGTTACAGTTACATGATTAAGGTAATGAGTACATTTCCTATCCAGCATTGTTTCCTCCTCCTTTGTTTTGCCCCTAGCATCCCTTCTCTCCCCACCTCCCCAACTCCTCCCTCCCCCCCCCACAAGTTGTAAAATTCGTTTTCAACATAGTGTCTTGTACACTCATTGTTACAATGGGTAAACCTGTATCCCTATTTAAGCATTTTGTTTTTTCCCTTCCCCTCCCCAAATCAGAAAAGTGTATATACAAGATGCAGGGCACCAACATCAAATACAGTGACAACAGGGGTTATACCATGGGGGAAGAACATACAAAAGAAACAAAAAAAAATCACTTAGTGCACTATAAGTACATTTAAAAAACAATAGCAAGAAAGAAAAAAAAAACACTTATGTCCCTGTCTTGGTGTTAATTTCACTTAACATCATCTTATATGGTCATATATACATAGCTTTTTTACCTTTTCTGCTTGTCCTAGACATATACTAGTTATTGCAAATAAGGGAAACCATGGGACCTATGTTTCTTTGGGCCTGGCTTACTTCACTTTATATTTTTTTTCCAAGTCTTTCCATTTCCTAACAAATGGGGCAATGTCATTCTTTCTGATGGAGGCATAGAATTCCGTTGTGTATATATACCATATTTTATTGACCCATTCATCTACTGAGGGGCAGCTGGGTTGCTTCCATATCTTAGTTATCATAAATAATGCTGGGATATACATAGTTGTGCAGGTAGCTTTAGTATGGCCTTGTTTGTGATCCTTTGAGTAAATGCTCAAAAGTGGGATTGCTGGGTCATAGGGGAGCTCTATGTAGAGTCTTTTGAGAAACCTCCATACTGCTTTCCAAAGTGGTTGAACAAGTTTGCACTCCCACCAACAATGCAGTAAGGTTCCTTTCTGGCTACATCCCCTCCAGTTTCTGTTGTTATTAGAGTTCTTGATTATAGCCATTCTAGCTGGAGTGAGGTGGTATCTCAATGTTGTTTTGAGTTGCATTTCTTTTATGGCTAGAGAAGTTGCACATTTATTTCTTCATGTGTCTATTGGCCATTCTTATTTCCTTTTCATAGAAGTTTCTCTTTAAGTCTTTAGCCCATTTATTTATGGGGCAGTTGTTTCTTTGAGAATTTGTTGTTGGGGGATCCCTGAGCATTTTTCATGAGGCTGTTTTATCCAGATCAAAGAAAATAGCTAATGGTGATTGAAATAGAATCAGTCAGGGAGAGCTAAGGAAACAATAGCTGGCTTATCTCTCTGCTGAAAAAAAACACATTCAAAGTTGATTTGGTTAAGAGCTATGAAGACTTAGTGGACATGTCATAAACATGTCATATGAAGAGACAGGAGAAGACTAGATGAGGAGAGCACAATTTCTATGCAGTGTTTAGTGTCAATTTTGTCTCAGTCTTTCGAATGTAATCAATTCTCTCTTGACATGTACCATGCACGATAACTCTCACTTGTATGTACTAAAAGAAGTCACAATATTCCATGCAATGGAAGCTTTCCTGTTTGTAATTCATAACTCTTACTTTCCTTCACTACCTATTCTTATTCCTTTCTCAGTGCTCTTGGCTTTTCTCTGTCTAGCCATAAATTGATAACCAATTCAGATTCATCTGATGTTTGAGTCTAATACTGATCAAAGTCCTAGTGCCAGTATCACTGACAAATTGAGTAATTCACCTTTTAAAAACTCCATACTATTTCAGAAATCAAATCTTTTATTTAGAAACAGAAAGGTCTTTGAAAAAATATGTATAGATATTAAATTGTGAGACCACAGTGCATAGTCCAGAAAAAAATAAACTCCATACCAGCCTGGGCAGGGTAATGAATGCTTGTAATCTCAGCACTTGAGAGGCTATGCCAGGAAGATTGAGAATTCAAGGAGCACCACACCAGAGCAGCCCCGCAGTACAGCTACCAGAAGGAGCTTCTCTGGGGAGTGAGATTCACAGTGATAGATAAATGTAATGACACACTGCCTGTGCCATTTTATGTTTTTTCAGAAGGGACTATTGCACAATTCTGTGTCAGAAGCCATTCTTCCACAAGGTCCCAACTTAAGTCAGGTAAACTGAAGATGTGAATTACCATTGGCCATATTGTTTCTTCAATTTTGATCATCATGAAAATACAAGCAACATGCCTACCCACCTATAGACCATCATTTGCAGCCATAAATTTTTCAACCTAAAAGTAGCTTCATCCTGCACATTGGACAATCTACAAAACAATTTTACTTCCAGTTTTCTAAAAGGCATAGGTTTGGTCTCTATAAATTTCAGTATTTTTCTAAGAAAATGTAAGCTTTCTCTAGAGATAGTTAATGCAAGTCTCCAGAATGTTATCCCCTCTCTAGCTGCTTTATTCCAAAGCAAGTATAGAAAGGTTTCAAGTTTTGAAGCTTCTACAGCTGGTCTGCTCTAGCACCCTGGTGAGAATTCGCATTGTATTTATATTCTCATACTCTTTTTAGTGTCAGTTGATCTTCCCAAGAATTAACATATACCTAGTCCCCTGGGAACAATGGATCTCCTCCCTTCCTCACATTATGTCAATAAGGGCTTTCCAATAGAAATGGAAAGACTTAGAAAAAATGTATTAAGTGAAGTAAGCCAGGCCCAAAGAAACATAGGCCCCATGGTTTCCCTTATTTGCAATAACTAGTATATGTCTGAGACAAGCAGAAACGGTCAGGTAAGTTGATGTTAGGTGAAATGAACCCCAAGATAAGGATTCAAATGGTTTTTCTTTCTTGCTATTGTTTCTAACATATTTATAAGATGATTTCTTTGACTTGGAAAAAATTATATTAAGTGAAGTAAGCCAAGCCCAAAGAAACATAGGTCCCATGGTTTCCCTTATTTGCAATATCTAGTATATGTCTGAGTCAAGCAGAAAAGGTCAGATAAGGTGATGTTAGGGAAATGAACCCTAAGATATGTATTCAAATGTTTTTTTTCTTTCATGCAATTGTTTCTAACTCATTTATAAGATTATTTCTTTGTTGCTTTGTATGTCCCTCCTGCACAGTATAACCCCTGCTTTCACTGTATTTGATGTCGGTATAATTTGTGGAGGGGAAGGGAAAAACAAGTCGTTTAAATAAGGATACAGGTGGACCCATTGCAACAATGAGATGTACAAGTCGTTATGTCAAAAACGAACTTTCCAACTTTGGTGGAGGGGGGGCAGGGAGTATTGGATGGGGGGATAGGGGGGAGGATGGGAAGGGATGGGAAAGGGAACAAAGGAGGAGGTTACAATGCTTGATAAGAAATGTACTCATTATTTTGCCTGTGTAATTGTAACCCCTCTGTACAGTATTTTCACAATAAAAAAATAAAATAAAAAGAAATGGAGACTGGAGACTTTTAAATATCATCAGACAGTCCTCTTTTCATATAAGGACTCAACAATCATGTAGAATCTACATATGTATGGATATCATCTAGTTTT